AACTAGGCCGCCTATAAGTAAAATTAAGTGTAGAACAACTTTACTTAGGCAGCCAAAAGAGGTTTACTTAATAAAATGTCGAGAAAATAGCAATTGTTTTTAAGAGAAGTTTGGTACAAGTGATCGTCGGGAAGAGTTAGTGATTTTTAATTTTTAAGTGGAAAATTTAATGAATAAAACTTACTTTTATTGGGAATTTGTAGAAATCCCTTATGAAACAGAAATTTGCGGGATTTGTTCTAAAAAGGGCCATAAGGACAAAGAATGTATTTTCTGGAAAGACCCTGAAGTGATGACCATTTATTTAGGGAAATGAAAAAGACGAAAGATTTCAATTTAGGTCAATTGGATGATGAACAAGCGAAACGGATGCGGACGTTATTAATGGAATATAAAAATATCTTTATGGACGAATCGGGTAAATTAGGAAAGACTTCTTTGATACAACACGAAACATTTACAGAAAATAGACCTCCGATTAAGCAAAAGTTTTACTCTCTTCGAGACCCGAACACGAATTTATAGGATCCGAGATTCAACGTATGGGGAAGGCTGGAATTATACGTCCATCAAATAGCCCGTGGACTTCGCCAATAGTGTTAGTAAAGAAAAAGAATGGATCGATGCGGTTTTGTATAGACTTTAGAAAATTAAATAAGGTAACAAAAAGAGATAGTTACCCGCTTCCTAGAATCAATAAATTATTAGGAGCTTTGAAACAATCGGCATAGTATATGACTCTTGATTTGGCCAGCGGATTTTGGCAGATAGAAATGCACCTACGTGATCATGAAAAGATGGCTTTTACCTCTCATTTTGGATTGCATGAATTTAACGTGATGCCTTTCGGACTTACGAATACGCCAGCAACTTTCCAAAGGCTTATAGATCAAGTTTTACATAAAGTATTATGGAAATTTGTCTTAGTATATATCGATGACGTTACGATATTTTTGTCTATATTCGATGAACACGTGGAACACGTGAGAGAAATTTTGCAATTGATTCAAACCGCAAATCTAAAATTAAATAAAGAGAAATGTCATTTTGGGCAGCAGAAAATAACATTTTTGGGGCATGAAATTAGCGAAGAGGGAATAACCCCTAGTAAATCCAAAGTTGAAGCTGTAGAAAACTTTCCATGACCTAAAAATATAAGGACACTTCGAGGGTTCTTAGGTTTGGCGGGATTTTATAGGAGATTTATGAAGAATTTTGCAAAAACGGCTGCACCTCTATATAAGTTGTTAAAGATTAAAGAACCATTTAAATAGAATTCCGAACAACAACTCGTTTTCGATGCATTAAAGAAAAACTTAGTCACGGCACCTATATTAGCTTACCCAGATGATAATAGAGAATATACTCTCTATACGGATGCTTCACATGTCACAGTAGGGGCTATCTTGGCTTAGATAGATGATAAAAAGAAAGAACGGGTTATTGAATATGCTAGCAGATCTACCAGTACAGCTGAGAAAAATTATACTATAACCGAACTAGAATGTACGGCTATAGGGTGGGCTGTTAAAAAGTTTCATATTTATCTGCACGGACCCAAGTTTACTATTATCACGTATCATTTGGTATTAGTATATCTTCATAATATGGCCAATCCAACCGGATGGATGGTAAGATTAATAATGATGCTTCAAGGGTATAATTTTACAATTAAACATCGCGCTGGTAAACAACTTTCTCACGTGGACGGTTTATCGCGAATCAAACATTAAACATCAAAATATATATATAAATAAAATAAAATAAAATAAAATAAAAAAAAAAAAAGGAAAATTCTACTTAACTTCAAATCTGAGGAACAAAATCCAGTCCAGGTTCCGGTGTCCTGGCATTTAAAGAAATAATTTGAAAATAATGGAGAATGAAAATTACCAAGCCTTAGTTGATTACCTTGCCAATCTAACCGTCCCGCTTGGGTACGATGAAAAACAAATTTGAAAACTTAGAAATCAAGCTCAATATTACATAGTACGTGAGGGAGTCTTATATCGGAAGGGTAAAAAGGAAACACAACATCCGTTGAGAATAGTAAAAAGAAGTGAAGTAAGGATTATATTGGAAGCTGTACATGAAAGTGCCATAAGAGGACATTTAGGAGTTAATGCTACGATTTACAAAACCTTGAAACGATATCACTGGCCGCAAATGATATCAGATATAAAAAATTTTGTTAATGGTTGCCAAACTTGTCAACAAAGAGGGAAGCCAGTTACCCATGAACTATTACATCCAATAAAGCCCGCACAACCATTTGATCGTATTGGCATCAACTTCGTTGGACCAGTGTCTAAAACGAAGAAGAGAAATAGATATTTGTTAGTAGCTACTGAATTTTTCACTAAATGGCCTGAAGCTTGCGCCCTACCAGATTGTAAAGCTGAATCTGTAGCGACATTCCTTGTAAATGAAATTATTAGTAGGCATGGATGTCCAGTCGAAATAGTAACCAATCAAGGTACTCATTTTAAGAACCAAGTAATCGCAGATCTATGTCAAAGGTTAGGAATTAAGCATATTAAGTCATCAAGCTATCACCCTCAGACGAATGGTCAAGTAGAAAGGTTCAACTGTACATTATGTGAAATCATGGTGAAATGTATGATTCAATACCAAGAAGATTGAGATGTATTTGTTCAGTTATCCTTATTTGCTTATCGAACAACGCGACATGTGACCACCAAATATGAACCATTTTTCCTAACTTATGGTTGGGAAGCACGACTACCCGTAGAATTGGATGTGGAAACTTACCTAACTGAACAAGTTGAAGAGGAGGAACAAACAGTTATTTTTAGAAGAATTGTGGCTTTGATAGATAATCTGAAAGAAGCTCAAATCACCGCTTTATAAAATATGAAATGGTCTCAAACAAAACAAATAGAAAATCATACTCAATAACACCCCTTATGCAGCTTTACTATTGGGATAAAGTCTGGCGTTATAATGCACGAAATGCCTCCAGAAAAGGGTAAAAGTTAGAAGTACAGTGGTTTGGACCCTATTGGATACATGAGGCATTTAATAACGGGGCATATAAACTAAGAACACTAGACAGAAAAGTACTAGTAAAAAGCGTGCATAGTAATTTGCTGAAACCGTATTATGAACAAGACACAGCATTATTCACCTTCGCAATACAAATATAAAAGAGAAGAAAAAAAAAAAAAAAAAAAAGGGGAAAATATAGAGAAGAAAATGGAACAGCGACTTGAATCAATTCGACCCTATGTACAAACATTGGCTGCGGTATTAGAAATCGGAGAAGAAATAACAATGGACTGTGATCAAGTGACACTCAAAAACTCTGATCGAGAAGCTTCTAAATATATTATCTTACATGAGAAGAAAAAGTATGCTGAACGTATTAGAGAAAACATGGGCAAATATTTCCAGGATCTTAATCGTGCT